TAATTGGATAGATGGCTTTGATCAGAATTTAATACATCTTCCTTCTTAATTTAGATTACATCCGACAAACCAGTCTTCCCGAGTTAGGTTTGAAATTATTCCTAATATAGCTATCTAGTGAAATCAGTTTTATCTTCCCTGAGAGGATTATCAACGCATCTGAAGTTCAAAGGCAGAAACTTGATTCAGGGAGCCGCCCTCCCCCATCCCTTTGGAGACTTTCCACCAGGGTGCAGTTCTGAACAGTTCTCATTTGTGAGGGATACAGAGGACCCGCTGACAGTTCCTCCTAGTGTGTGACGAAGACTGGGAAGTTGCTGAACTCAGCGTGTTTGTGGTTGAACTGCTACATCTACTTCTCCCCCAGAGGTTCCCTCACGCAGCTTGTTCTCCCTGTGCTGAGCACATTTGGTCCTGATGGGGGGGGGAGGAGATGCTTCTAAAGGAGACTGTGGCATGTCGGCTAAATCTCTCTCTTTTGGAACTGGGCAGATCTGCCACTTGCTGTCCGACCTCAGGCTAACTGTTTAATCTCTGTAAATTTAACATTCCTTTTTGATGAACAAGTAAATGGATACTTTACAAGATTCCAGGGAGGGTTTGAAATAAATATACAAATAAGGCATACAGAAAGGTACTGCGCCAGCGAAGCAAGGGCGCCGTTTCTTTCTGCAGTGTCCCTTGCGCCTGGAGCGTGCTACGGTATTTGTTGAATGGATACGCTCAGGGTCCAACCAATAGCAACTGTGGTGGCTTTCATTACTGCCTGGTGATTCCACACCCGAGGGGAAACAACAACAACAAAATTAATGTGTTGCAGCCCCCCACTCTTCAAAAATGTATTCCCATGTACGTGCTCATATTTCACAATGAGCAAAGAAATCAGTCTTTAAATTGATGTCATAACCTATAATAGAAATGCATATTACAACTTAGTTGTACACTTTGACATAGCCAATCTATTTTTTTCAAAGGAATATTCTTCTGTTTCACTCCCAACTGCCTCTCTGAGGGCTAAGTAGGAGAACGAAGAGGATTTGATGGTGCCTGCGGCAAACAGATCTTGTAGAAGACAGGGTCATGAAAACCCAAGGTGAGGACAGACCTTCTCACTAGTCTGTAAAACTCAAATTCACAGTATCAGTTATGAGGCAGAGAAGGGTTAGTTCCCCTTCCTCTAGATGTGATGAGCGCATTCAAGGAACGACATCTCTTAAAGTAGTGTGTTCGTACCCGCGTTTTAGTGTGTGCGTGCATGTGCATGCATACGTGTGAGCATATGTGTGCGTGCATGTGTTTGTGTGCGTGTGTCTCTCTGTCTGTGTGGGTCCTAGTAAGACTCCAGGAAAGACTAGAAATGAGTGCGTACACTGGAGAAGAGAAACATGCAACCAGAGTTTATCCTCTTGGACAGCACTGAGCACCGCTAAGGGATGCAGACCATCAGCGCCCTCCAACCAAGCCCTCCACCGTTGGTATCTCTGTTTCATTAGCTCTTGCTAGTTTTCCAGAAGGGTCACTGAGCTCTCTCCACACACTCTCTTGGAGAGCCTGGCTATTCCTTTTCCTCCTCTCTTGTCTTCCATAACCCTCCATTCATTTCTCTCTGTGCCAAGCTTATCAGATTCACTCTTCTGTTTCCAGCCCGTCTATCATGCCGTCACTTTACGGCCCTTGCTGCTGCATGCTCTCACGGGTGTAGCACTACAGGCCCAGCGTTGTTTCCCTTCCCGGTTATGGCGGTTCATGCAGAATGCGTCAATTTTTAAATATACTTCTCAAGGCTGCAGACCCATTATGATACAGTTAAGTAAATTTCACAAAAATGTCTCATTCACATTTTGCTGATAAAAAGTCCCATCTCATTGACCTCTTAGAGGATTTCCTGGCAGACCACTTCATTTAAATTGCACTTAATAATAATCTACATGCTTGAAATTTGCTATGAGAGATTTCTCAACACACACACACACACACACACCAACAAAAACAGGATGTGAAAGGCAGCGTTCTGCTAATTAGCTTGATTTTGCATATCTATAATGTAGACACATTGCAAAACATCATGTGGTATTCTATAAATATATAGAACATTTTTTCAATAAAGATGTAGTCAGTGTAAAGGACCATAGTCTAGGCAATATACTCTTTGGATTTGTTAACTTTCTTTCCTCTTCTCACTTCTTTCTTTTTTTTCCATGTGTGGGAGGCAGGTTGGTGGACAGGGTCTCAGATCTGGCCTGGAACTTGCTACGTAGACCCGCCTGGCCTCAGACTCCCCGAGATCTTCCTGCCTGTCTTTCAAATGCTGACATTAAAGGCATGTGCCATCGTGCCCAACCAAATTTGGCTAATGTGATGGTTGAAATGAGAGTGGCCCCCACAGGCTCAGACATACGAATGTTTGGTCCTCAGTTTGTGGGGTGTTTGGGAAGGGTGGGAATGTGGCTTGGTTGCAGGAGGTGTCTCTCTGCCCCTTCACCCTCTGTCCCTAACTCCCTCTTCTCCGTGCCCGCTGCCTGTGGATCAGGATGCAAACCCTCAGCTGATGCTCTAGTGCCTGCCCGCACACCACTATGGTTACCTCCACAGTGACCAGGGCTTCACCCTCCCAAACTGTAAGCAAGCCCCAGTTCAAGGCCTTTTATAAGCTGCTTTGGTCGCAATGGAACAGTGACTAAGACAGTCGTTTGTTTCCAAGATCTTTAGAGTTCACTTAATAAAGTTCCCTTCCTTCCTTCCTCCTTCCTTCCTTCCTTCCTTCCTTCCTTCCTTCCTTCCTTCCTTCTTCTTCTCCCTTCCTCCCTCCCTCTATCCTTCCCTTCTCCCCTCTGAAATTAATTCTGCAAGCATTTGTCCACAGTTTCTACGGACCATGCCCGGGGCTGGGTTCTAGGTGCACAGGACACAACAGTGATCCTTGTCCTGTGTGATTATTGATGTCAGAAGGCTGTTGGGGGGCAAATGCCAAACAGATGCATATTTCTAGTCGTCAGTAGATGCTGTGATAACTTGTCTGGAGCACAAATCACAAGAGGGATCTGCTAAGAGGGGACAGGAGTGAGGAACATCATGGCCAGAGGAAGACACAGGAAGCTGAGACAAAAACCACGGAGCCGTGCTGATCAGCAAAGGCACACGGCCTCTGGTACACAGAGACAGTAGACACAAGTCCTAGTCGGGCCGTGGGTTCCACTCCAGATGTAGAGAGGAGCTGCTAAAGGGTAACCGGGCGGTGCGTTACCTGTTTTGTATTTGCAAATGCTTCCATTACTGAATGAACAACAGATTTAAGAGGCTTCAAGAAAGAAAGCCAAGGGACCAGTTAGGAAGAGGACCAGTAGGGTATTCTCCATAGAAGAACTTTTTTTTTTTTTTTTTTTCAAGTAGTAGAAACTTCACATGGAAATACGCCCAGTAACTGGGGACCAAAGAGCATGCTCACACCACCCGTAATTGTCTGGTATTAGGCTGTTTATTTGTTTACATACTGGTTCTTCTGCTTCATTCTGTCTATCCTACTGAAATGGCATTTGGCATAGGTCCTGAGCCTAGTCCACTGTGGATTGCTGATGATTAGTTACTAAATGAATCGATGAATTAGAAGGCAATAGGTTGCCTGGCTTGAACACGAGCTGGCATGATGGAAATAGACACCTATTTCTGAGAAATGAGTGGTGGTCTCGGGCCATCGATATGACCGTTCTGCCGTTCACCATTATGCTTGGTCCTCTTCTCTAGGGCTATTTTTAACTTCCACAAACCTAGCCCCCAATCACTCCAGCACTGCTGGCTTATGAGGCCTCCCAAAACAACTCTAATTGGTTTTTAGGTGATGGATTTGAGAGGAATGGATAGTTGCCTTTTTTTTTTTTCTACAGTAAAGAAAGAAAATGGCCTTTCACGGAAGCCCCAAATGTGCTATTTCCCCAACAGTTGATGGTAATTCAAGCATCCTCCTCTATCTGAGCTCCTCGGGTTCATTAAACTCCAGAATCAAGCCCAGAAAACTCTAGGCTCAGCCACCTCCCAGAGAGAACGAAATGCAGGCTAGTCTTTCTTACCCTACTTCCTCCCGGTTTATGGGGAGAAGCTCAACTCCAGCGTGATTGATTCACGGCAGTCAAGGAGCCTGGCAAAACCCCCTGGCTCCCCTCTGCACACTTCTGTTTCTGCCGCGCCTCTTCCTTGACTATATTGGAAATCTCTCTCACAAAGTGTTGTGAACACTGAAATAAGCTGACCATGTAAGTCTCGGCGCGTTTCAGTGGGGATGCTCTCTCCCTGCCTCCACGCTTTAAAGGGCTGGGGCGGATGCTGTTGTTGTGGAGATTCCGGTAGAGAGAAGAGCAGCTAGAAAGAAGGAGATGCTCCAACCCACCGAGACTCCTCTCCTTTGCTCAGGGAGAAGCCTCGCTTAGGTCCAGCTGGGTGACTACAAGCACAGACTGGAAACCTGGTGTTTGGCCCTCACAGCTCCGGACTCAGGACCTCTGTCTCATATAATTTATGGAACTCCGGTACTTTCTGCCTTCTAATATGTGTCCAACTCTTATACACAAAGGAGCATTTCCCCCCAAGGCTCATTAATGAAGGTTACGAAGTTGTCTTCAAAGGTGGTGTTTGATTATTTACTACTGACCATATATGTAAATAACACGTGCTTCACCCCCACGGGCAGTGAGAGGGGTTGGGAGGACAAATGGAAGGTGTATGGAAATTTCAAACATCAAAATAGAAATTCCCCCAAATTGCTCACACATGTGAGAGATTGATTAGTCAGCCATGCTTGGGGCTCACCGAAACTTTTAGTGATCCAAAAGCTGCGTCATGATTGAGTAGCTGCGAACTAAAAACTTACCCCCTTCTCAATGCCATTTTTCTGCACATTTTAAATGTGTAGCTCGTGGCAGCGCACTAGAATTTATAATCCCTATCCACATATTGCATCACCCACCACTATGTGCACACACTCGGAGACAGATTATTAAAGGAAATACCTTCGCGGACACCTGCATGCTGTTTTCTTGCATGTTCATAATGGCTTCAGAGATCTTGACATCGATTGGATCCATGACTGACTCGATGTTGAACGGTCCCTCTAGGCGCTCTGCCACCAACAGCATCGCATCTGGTAAAAATACAAGGACGGTGTTTACTTTTATATTTTATTATACACCACATATAATGTAAATTATATATCACATCTTGTTATATTATATATCACAAGCGTTTATTTGAGACAGCCAGCCCTCCAGGTTTTCAACTTCCACTCAAATGTTTATAGACAAGTGGCTTAGGAAAAATTCACTCAAAGGAATTTGTGTGTTCAAATGGGGTGGATGACTAAATATTAAAGTCATAATACACTTTATTTCATCATTTGAAGATGTAGGGTTATTTCACACACATAGAACCGTGCCTGAAATATAAGAAAAATCAGTCCAAAGGCAGTAAGTTAAGCACATGTGATTATTCTACATGAAGTTAAAACATTTGCTTGAATATGAGCTACATTTTGACAGTGGGTTTTGAACTCCATTACTGATTGAATCTGAAATCTCCAGATTATCTTCCATGGGTTTGTGTTTTAAACAACAGGCCCTATGGTTTGACAGAGGAATGGTCCCTGTAGTCTCAGGCATTTAAACACTTAGTCTCTAGTGGGTGGCATTATTTCAGGGAGGTGTGGCCTGGCTGGAGGAAATATACCACTAGGGGTGTGGGCCTGGAGAGCTCAAGGCCTTGTCTTCCTGCCAGTTTGCACTCTCTAATCCCCATTTGTAGACTGTCACATCTGCTTCTTGTTGCCATGACTCCCATCCGTGACGGACGCCCAGCCCTCTGGAACGGGTGAGCCCAGATAAATCCTTCCCTCTACAAATTGCTTCTGATTATGTTGCTTTGTTATAGTAACAGAAAAGAAACTAGTGACCCCATTTTAAAGGCTGCAGAAGATTTAGGACTTGAGGCCTGGGTGGTGGAAATAGATGTCATGGAGGAATCCTGAGATCTGGAGCTGCATCTGTTCTGGCTTGACTTCTCTGTCTACTGTGTGTATGATGTTCCTGTAGCCAGGGTCAGAGCTGCATGCCTTTCCACCATGATGGATGGAAATTCTCCTGAAACCATGAGCAGGGACAAATTATTTCTCCCTGAAGTGTTTGCCCACAGTGACAGGAAAGAACCTGACACAACTTCTCTTCATTGAGAAGATGAGGAAGGAGAAGAATGAAGAGCTGGAGCCCGGAGGCCCGTGTGAAGCCTTTTCGGATATTAAAAACACAGTCACGCCCACGCCCTCGCTTTGTGTTATCACTCTACCCAAAACGCCTTTCTGTTTATGCTCTGCAATGCTGTGCAGAGGGAAAAAGGCACGTCTCTTATTCACCTTGGGAAGCTGAGGTTGATTTTGACACACACCACGTGGAACACTCAAAAATATCTGAGGAGTTTCTCTGAATTGGATTGAGTTGGACACACGCAGGGAAGCTGGTTATCATGACATGGAGACATGAGTTATGTACTGGGAGCCTTTCTTCCCTATCTTAACTGGCTGGAAGGCCACAGGTAAGGGATGTACATTAGAATGACTTCTGAAAAGGAGTTGGTGGTAAGGGGGCAGGAATCTATTCCAATATGATCAGACGCTAGCCCAGCTTCCGTTCTTGATAACCAGAGCGCAATTTGGCAAGCCACTTTCTTTGTGGGGTGTGAGACGGACATTCTTCTGATGATGAGAGTATGGGTGTGGTAGAAGGGCTGGGCGTAGCATGGCTGAAGAGCTAATTAGCTATGTGTGATTTAACATAACCATTCCAGGCCAACAGCTGCCACCTTTAACTGCATAAAGTAGACTTTTAACTCACACACTCAAATTTTTCAGTTGCTTAAGCTCTTAAAAACTCATCTTAAAAAGTTTCCCCCTTCCAGAACAATATACATTTATTATAGAATGCTCACAAAATGCAGACGAGGAAACAAAGAAGACTAATATGCCCATAACCCCACTCCTAGAACAATACTGTGAACACTGTGGTAGATGCCCTATTTTTTTTTCCCTCTGTGCATGAATATTTTAAGCACGCAATGAAATATACTGTGTGTATATCATATAATCTGCTTTCTAAATGTAATATATTATTAATGTGGAATGCTGTTTATAGTTAGCTGTTTTACAGCAGCAGTAATGTGAGGAAACCAAATTTTATTTTTACTACACACCCAACCATGTTCAACCCAGGCCTAATATCAAAATGTTTTCAGGGATATAAAGTAGCTATGAATTAGACTGGTGAGAAACGTTTTAAGAGGGATTTTTTTTTTTTTTTTAAATATAGAAGGTACAGAACTGTCTGGAAAGTAAAGACTCACGTTTTTAAAGAGCCCAAGCTTTATAAACAGTATCCACTCTTAGTGTTATCAACTCTTTTTATTTCTTCCAGATCTTATAAGAGTCCCCGGCTGTATTCTCTGGGGAATGGGGAAGAGTTAACCCCTTCAGGGCAGAATTGGGAGCCATGCCCCTTGGCTCCAGGCACTCCTGTGTCTTCTCACAGGTGCAAATGGGCCCACAAAAAAAAAAAAAAAAAAAACGTGTGCATGGATGACATTAGGAAAAGAAGCCCCACAGGTTTTTCTGATATTTTTCTTCGACAGAGCAGGGTTATCTGTATTTGCCATCTGTCTTTTAACCACTCAGATATTCCACAAGACCTTAATGACCTAATTATCAATTGTTGCATCAACAATTATCACTGTTGTCTCACTGCAGTAGGCCACTTGAAATCCATCTTCTCCTTTCCCTGTTTGAGGCACAGTTACATGCCTGAAAGTTGGCTGTTTCTTTTCTATCTGTGCATCCATTTTGTGTGCTCATCAAAAAATAATACCCCGTATCAAAACACAGGTTTTCTGGTGAAGATTAACTATTCTAGATAAGTAGAACTGGAAAGAAATTTCCTGCATGGGAAAACCATAGAGTGACTCAAAAATGGAATTAAAGAAAAAGATAACTATGGAATATTTAGCTGTATGCTTCATAAGTCACTTACATAATTCATTAGATAATAAGTATTTGTCTGCTTCAATATATGTCTCCATCATGAGTAAGTTGGATTGTAAAAAAATAACCTTGCTCATAAAAGGTCTGTAAGGAAAAGGACAAGGTTTTGGCTCCTAGCACCCAGGACTACCTGTAACTCCAGGTCCAAGGGTTTTGATACTCTCTTCTGGCCTCTTTGAGTACCCATACACATGACATACCCGCCTGGACACAGGTACACACACACACCCATGCACACAAACATTCATGGGGAACCGCTATCACCAAGTTAGACTGTTGGCTTTGGAAACATGATCGATCCCTTTGATGAACTATGACACTAAAATGCGGAGCCAAGTTGTTGAGTTTTCCATTTCCAATCTTTATGCTAATGCCTTTGCTTTTCTGTCCAAATTAATGTAGGATCATTTTTAAATTATTTAAAATATATTTTTAAATATTAACATCACTAGTCAGAATGTGATTCTTCTTCTTTTTGAAATTTATTTTTCAAGAATTTCATGCAAGTTCACAATGCATTACGATCACATTGATTTCCCAGTCCTCCTTCTTAACTTCATGTGAAACTCTTCCAAGATCGTATCCCTCTGTTTTAGATATATGGGCATATGGGTCTTTCAACTCACATTAATTTCTGTGAACTCCATGCCTGCCTGGTGCTCATGGAGGCCAGAGCGTTCTAGAGTCAATGAGAGACCGTGTTTCAAACATTAAGGTGGAGAACCTTCACATGAGCACACACGGGTGAGGGCACCCACAAGTGCACTCACACACCGCACGCATACCCTAAAACTGATTCAACAAAGAGTAACTTCAGAAATTCTTATGAATGTAAATATTTAAAGCAAAATCAAACGCAACAAACACGTGACAGTAAATTGAAGCACCGCATCCCTTTCACTAAAAATGCACAATCGTTCACATTAGTGTAAAAAACCGGGGCAAGATGGCACGTGAAACATAGGTAAAAGGTCACACAGATTCCTGTTTGTTGTCACACACAGGTTTGGATAGCAATGGGGTAATGCTGCGGGGCATCAAGTGGATTTGAGGGATTGCTAAGTACTTTGTAAATAAGAGCCACTTGGGCCTCAGCCAAAGCTCCCTGTAGGTATCTACAGACATAAATATCAAACACACACGTACCAGTGTGGCCATATATTATTTATGATCTATTAAAGCTTGCCTGGGGGTTCAGAATCAAAGTTACCCACAAGCCACAGGGTTCAGGAAATGGCGACACACACCTTTAATCCCAGCAACCATAGTAGCAAGCCAGGCAGTGGTTGCACACGCCTTTAATCCGAGGACTCCGGAGACAGGCAGGTGGATCTCTCTGAGTTCAAGGCCACCCTTGCCTACACAGAGCTCACACCTTTGATCCCAGCCTTCAGGAGGTAGAGACAGGGGGACATGGCTGGTTGGGGAGAGGAATATAAGGAGGAGGAGGCAAGAACTCAGAGCCCTTTGCCTCTGAGGATTGTGGGACAGGATTGCCATTTCAGCTGGGTAGAGGTAAGATCTACTGGCCGGCTGCTTTGCTTCTCTGATCTTCAGCTTGAAGCTCGACCCCCAGTACCTGTCTCCGGGTTTTTATTACTCATGTTACACATCAGTATAAGCACCCTCACCCCAGCTTTGTAGTTGTTGTAGGCACACGACACACAGCGGGAGGAAGCATCCCTGTGGTTCTTACCTCTTCCCTTGGAGCTGCCACCTCAGAGACTCAGCTAATCACTTTGGTGCATATCCCCTGAGTCACCTGACTTGCATACGCATTTTCAAGAGGCCTTTTGCTTGTAGAAAATGAAATGGGGATGGATTAGAAATAGCTGTTACTTTAGAATCAGTTACTGTTGCAAACTAAGAGATGCTCTGTGTTAGCACACAAGGAGCACGCAGCATCTCCTAGTCCTAACCAAGGTGATGAGATGAGCCAGACAGTAGGCCAAGGCATTCTGCTTGAATAAGTATGACTTCCCGGCTAGGAAAGAAGGTTTTAGAGTCAGTGCCTAGGTTTCAGTATAGCTGGGTAATAAACTACAAGCAAGTCATTGAACTCACAA